ATGTTGATTGCTATCTAATCTGAATAAAAAAAATATTATTTGCACAAGAGTAATAAATATAAATACTGTAAGAAATATTGTCAAATTATTTTTCATATGAATAAGTATTATTACATTAAATGTGTATCTCACATTATTCATATTATTAATAATTAAATAAAATCATACTTTCCTTTCTTCGTATTACTGCCTCCACAATTCTATATAATTGACCAAGAAGTAAATATTATCATATTAGAAGTATGATTCACGTCATAACTCAAGAAGTATATATTCTTGGTCGATTACATGAAACAAATTGATCGTGAATCCAATTATTTTCTCAATAAAGCACTTCGAGATTTAGCTAGAAAGATATTGACGTTTCGCGATATTACGGAAAGTGGAGCTGGAATGGAGGAGCGTACTCTATAGTCAGCATATAGATACACGCATCGTCATCGATTAACTGAAATGCCATAACGTCTATTTTGCAACGAGATTATGTCGAATAGCTGCAGTTTCAGGCTCTCGGATTACACGGCGCCCAGAGTCATGTTGATGGATGCTTTCCACACGGGTCTCTTATGTTACTATCGGTTTCACGCCCGATTTAATCATCCGTTACACATCGCTCGGTCTTCCCTCTGGTCTTTATACGAACCGGTTTGTTATACGAAATTTTGTATTGGCTAATTGCGCGTTGTGCTCATAGTGGAATCACATCACATTCGTCATCTACCTCCTGTGGAGACTGATTCTATGGGACTGATTTGTTCTGATTGTGAGAGAGAAACGCAAATCTTGAACTAATTCTCAATAATTTCTTCATAAATATTTTTTTTCGTGTAAATATGTTATATCATTCTAAAATTATTATATATCAGTATTATTCTATTGTAAATTTCACGCAAAAAATATTTCTATCGACTGTGCTTTAATTAATATATTACTAAGGAAAGTGCGTGTTTTTTTAACAACTGCGTATATTTTCAAATTTGCGACATAGTATGAGATTGATATAAAAAAACTAATTTTTTTTACTATGTTGCGAATATTTTGGAATATTGTATGTAAATAATTACGATTAATAATTTCAAATCATTGTAATCTAATAACGTCTCAAGGCAAGATATTCGAATCTTGAATATTTCTCGCTTCAATAAGCATGAATAATATATGCCAAATCCATAATGATGCGTTCAAAGATATAAAGTGATGATTTTGTCATCGGCGTTTTGTTAGGATTAAAATATAAATTTTTCGAATATTTCTATTAATCTAATTTTTCCCCTATCTATCTAATTTTATTTACAACACTAATACTGTGATCGAAAATCAAGAACTACATAATAGAAGTAAATATGATCGTCTGAATTTTATTCGTTTAATATGAAAATTATGTTTTTATTGTCAATGTAACTTCAAAAACTCAAGCAGTTGCAACGAGAATAATAATAATAGTATATAATAATATATAATAAAAAATAGTATATAATAATAGATCAGTATCTTGCACACTAAAGACTTATAATTAAATAATCTTAAATTAAATAATTTTAAATCAAACTTTTTTATCAGTTAAAAATAAAGTAAATAAAACATTTTATAATTCATTAATTTCATTAATTTTATGAATTGATCACTAATACTCAAGAATTATACTATATAAATTTCAAATTGACGCGTGTAATTGCGAACAAAAATAAATAAAGAAGGAAAAAGATTGCAGATAATTAGTCAGATGAAGCGATTGATTATCAGGATATTGAGATAATATCATTTCGGCGCTGAATTGACGAGCGATAGATGAAATTAATTCCGAAATTAATTTCGAGAGGCGAATATTTATGCCACGACATAACAGCAGGTCAATGATTTAAAGAGCTCTTCTGATATTCCCACGCATTGTCCGGTTAGTACGAAAGGCTAGAATTAGGCTCCGTAGAATCTATCTAAGAGTGATTGAAGTTGTCCCAGATGTGGAGCGATATCAAACTATTTCTCTGGTATGTCGTCGCCATCCGCTACGTTAGCAAAACACACCCACGTTCGTTAGCATTGGAACGGCTGAGAGTTGATGACTGCATAGGACAATAGTATCTTATTTCATGAATGAAATAGAGACGAGAAAGGAAGAAATAATCTGCAGTAAATGCAGAAAAACTTGGAGATTAAAAATAAGAAAAAAATTTCAATTATTCAATTATTCGCAAATATTGAAATCTAAAACAAGACTTCAGTCAATTAATTCTCTTTTCAATTATCAAATAATTCCTTTTTAAATAAATAAAACAATTATTGGTTTCCAAAATTAAACGTTTGACTGTTCGAATGTTAAGTCGTAAAGATTCATGTATGTGGGAGAGAAAGAGGGTCAATTTGGGTCAAAAGTAAAAAAAGTGCGGCTGTAATTTTCGCATTATGTGTGTTTCACTATAAATAGATGCTCGATAAATAGCGTTGAAATTTGCTTCAACTAGAACTGACTTTTATAGAAATTTATCATGTACTTCAAAGTGCGAGCCTTTGGTAGCGACAACCAATTTTCGCGCTTATGAATCATCTCTCAGATGGTAGGAAGTAAAATGAGAACATAAATTATTAAAGACTCTAACTATTATCTAATAATACTATATATAAAAATAATAAATAGAATATGAGAAAAATAACAAGATGCCAAAAAAGAAATTAAATTAAAAAGATATTTTTTATATAGTTTATTATTTAACAAATTCTGAGGTTGTTGACTTCGATGTCAGAACCCTTAAATCCAAAATGGCGATTCCAATATGGCCGACTAAAATGTGGAAAGCAGTAGGGATCATATGACAATTCTGTTAAAGATTAATATCAGACAATGAAGAAGATAATTGTTTAGAGAAATTGATTACTTCAAATTTCCAAAATACTCTTTAATAAAAACATTCGAAATTTCCATTGAAATTATATGAGAAATGATTACTATCACGATGGATAGTTGAGATACATAAGAGAGATTATTGCAAATGAATTATGTAATCACAATATCCTCAGATTCGTTTCGATTATAACTACGACCTCAATGTTGACAATTTTGAATAGCGGTAATCCGATCGACGCATAAAAATGTGCTGCGTAGAAATTCGTCACAACGTGATCTTTAGTGTGCGCTCAATTTCCGGTTCTCCAATTTACACGGACTTCGAACTTTGATGTTTCCATCAATCCCACTATCGAGCTTACCGCGTGTCATCCACCTGACTCATTGGTCTTTAACGATCCTTCAGAATATTCACGATGATTAACGCGATATCGCATGCATTTCTCGCGCCGGACCATCGCTCGATCGTAACTCCTATCATCCCCCAAAGACAAAAGCATTTCGTCGAAAGGCGTTTCAGCGTAATTATTGACACGAATTCGCGGTGGTGCGCGATACATTCCAAGGACGTTTCGTACTCACCACAGCCTCGGCGATCGGTATCCACGTGGCGACGTGCACCAGTAGGGCAAGGACGCAGGTGACTCGCAGGACAAGCGGAACAGGCCGCGAGATTCCGTGATTCGCATCGCCAATGATTCTTGACGCGACCCTGGGCCGCATCGTGCCAGCCTGGGGTCCTCCTCCTCCTCCTTCTCCTCCTCTTCTCTATCTTTCGATCAAATCTGCAGGTTTCGCGGATAGTTCCAGGGGTTGTCTCACCTCCGATCCTTTCTTCGTTCTCGCGGCCTCCGAGAGAGCGGTATCTCCAAGTTCGTTCTCGTCAGTTTCAGCGGCGACGACGTGCGGCTCAGCAATATCGTGCTGAAACGGTGCCGCTAAGCTCGTCGTCGGCCAGCCTGTCGACGCACCGCGTGTGCGAAGGGCCAGACAGACGGCCCGGTTAGCCCGTCCTCCTGATCGCTACACACAGACGGGCGGACACAAAGCAGACCCGAAGGCGGCGGAGGAGGTGCTCGCTCTCTCTCTTCTCTTCCTCTTTCCTCTTCGTCTCTGTCTCTCCCACCCTCTCTGACTATCTCGCTTTTTCTCCTTCCGTCACTGTCTTCTCTGGTCGGTCTTTTTTTCCCTCTCTCTCTCTCTTTCTCTCTCTCTCTCTCTCTCTCTCTCTCTCTCTCTCTCTCTCTCTCTCTCTCTCTCTCTCGCGCGCTGTATCCTTGCGCGCTCGTGGAGCTCTCGCGGCACGCTCGGCGGCCTCCCTGACAAAACGGGCCCCTCTCTGCCCCCCTGTGGTATGGCTAAGTTCCGTAAGCTCGGGCTGACTCGGGCTGGCACTGCTGGCAGCTCGGAACCGGCACGACCGATACCGGTAGGGTCCCTCGCGGCCGCACAACAGTCCTCGTGCGACGCGCGACCGCGTGAGCAAACGCTCGGCTCGGAGCCGGCCAGCGGCACTCCATCGCCTTCTCCTACTCCTCTCTTGGTCCTCTCTACCTCCTCCTTCTTTTCTCTTCAGTTGTTTCTTCTTCCCCTACCAACCCTGGAGAGACGGTACTCCGCGTTCGTTGCTTCCTCCCCTTCCTCTTGCGCACTCCCTCGCTCACTCTTTGCCTTCTTCTTCCTCTTCTTCTTCTTCTTCTTCCCGTCTCGCGGACCCGGAGTTCAACCGGAGGCAACCAGGCAGGAGACCACGATCGCCCTCTTCTCACAGGAGCGAGAGAAGAAGAAAGGAAACAGGGAAAGAGGGGCGATCCCCCGTCGACATCGGGGAAAACGAGCGAGCCGAAGCGAGGCCTGAACTCGCGACGTCGCCCGTCGCGGAAGGCCGAGAGAAGGCACTCTCTTCTCGGCCCGGTCCTTTCGGCGGAGGAATTCTAGCTGGCGTGGCTCGGCGCGACCGCCGCCTCCACCTTCCTTCCTTCCCTCCACCCGGAGTCCATTCAGAGACCTCCCTGGATGGGACGGTCTGCACACACCATCGGTCTACTCGGTGCCCGGTTCTGCGCGATATTTTGTGACTGCCTGTCTGTGCGGTGCTCGGTGCTTTAGCCTGTGCTTCCTCGGCTCCCTAGACCCATCGAGGAATAGGGAGGTCGACATGACCCGGTTAGGATTGCGGTGAGTTTTATATTGATCTCATTTTTTCCTCGATTTCCGTCTCATATTACACTGATCATGATACACTGATTTCTTTCTTCGATCAGATTTCTACAACCGCTACTTCCTCTTCGTCCTCTCTTTCGTTACCTCTTCTTTCTCTTCTTCATCTCTTTCTTCGTCTGCTGGGTGTTTCCTTTGCAATTCATTTTTGTTTTTGGCTTGTCGCCGGACTGGCCCGACCGTGCCGATCTCGCTCTGTCCTACGGAAGGGATAGTTTCACCCCCGTTGCGCGCGGGCTTCCGCGAAAAGGTGAGAGAATCCCCCCAAGGACGATCGCAAGAAGCGAACTCGCGTGCGCGCAGGAGATCGTCCTCCCGGACTAGCTCCGACGCAGTCGCAAATCATGTCTTCCGCGTTTTTTCATCTCGCTCGCGCGAGTTTTTTTTCTTTTTCCTTTCCTACTCAAGTTCCTTTACTTCGAATATTTACTCCACTTCCTGTCTCAATGACGTTAGATCTCCACGAGATGCAGCGGTCCCTTATGAAATCGTTCGCTTCGCATTTTGACTTTATCGAGTTATCAGCTTTACTTTTTAAGTGATGTGCAAAATATTTATCTTTTTTTTTTCAAGTAATATCGCAAAAATGGAAATTTTAAAATTGTTGGAATTTATTTCCGAAAGAATCGAGTGTAATGCAAAATTTTTGTTCAAATAAAGATCGCTTTTCTATCTTTTTTCTTATGGCTTTTTCACTCTTCCTTTTTAATTCCTTTCTGTAACGATATTGTGTTCAACGATATCTGCAATATTTATCGGAATAATATCTCGGCGCAATTCTACTTTCAGATTCGTCGCATCCGCAGTCTGCCTGGCCGGGATTGTTAGTGGGGTATGTAAAAGCTTTCGATTTTCTTTTTAACACGAGTGTCTGTGGAAGTATCAAATGTCATAATAACATGTTAAATCATAATTTTTCTTATATTTTTAAAATCCATTTTTTTCTCCGAAAAAAAATATGGTCTTATTCTAAGTTTAATTACGCTATTTTAATATTTCCAATGTGTTATGCTTGCTTGATTCTTTGCAATATGATGTGATTTTAGTTATATTATCGAAAATTTTAGTTATATTATCATTCACGATCATTCACAAAAACAGATGGTCATCGACATTAATTTTGATCGACGTCTTTCAACAGATCGCAAGAAATAATTGCGCGTCATTGGGAAAATCAAGTCGAGATCTGTGAATATAATATGTTTTTTTCACGTTGATATGTAATGCGATCTTGCGGTACATTGTACGACCGGTTCGACCTGCTCGCATTATTTAGTTGGTCCATTCATCAAGTCAGTGCGATCGCACGCGTGTGTACTCTCGAGTATGCACGCACTTCCGACGCATAACTAGTGCATCTCAGTGCATTCTCAGCACGTGCATCCAAGTCGCGGCGCACTCGCGTTGCGATTTTGTTATTCGCTGAGAGTAGCTAATTCTGAGAATTTGAAAAGGGTCGCATTTCAGTCGATGGGATCGTACCTTGTTGTCTCATAAATCTCGGAAACGCGTGAGATTTGAGAACACCGAACTCCTATGAAGAGATATTTTATTTATCACAATCGCAGCACGTGTGCACCCACGCATAGTCTCATTTTTTCTCGATAGAGAGATATTTATAAAAAATATTTCTCACGTTTCAATTCACAGTTCATTGCCGATACGTTAAGATTAGAGATGATTGCACGATATATGATGTAATGAAGGATAAGAAATGACGATCGAACTTTAATTCTTCGAAGAGTTTTCGCATCATTGGATTATGATTGAAAATATCGTTATTTTGCATCTCGTCAGAATGTTGTTTCTTTTGATAATTTCGAGTACTCTTACACATGCAAGTTCAAGCACAAAAACGGTACTTTATGTATTGCACTTCGTTCGTATAGGAAATGTCATAAAAGGAAGAGGGGAGGGGAGGTTCATCTAAGTGGCGGAGTCTGTATTTTAAGCGCGTTACATACTACTACTCGGCGATAAGAGTCGTTTTATGGAAAATTACCAAGACGTGTGACAAATATAGCGGTGATTGTAGAGAACGTAATAAAAGTGACGAGGATTTCGCTAATTCGAGCTACGTTAATCGGTCCCTATATCGCGCTTGTAAATATGACGAAATTTACGAAGACAATAGATAGTAATCAGATTTGTTTATTTATTATTCGATTATGCAATCTAATATCTGACTTTTTTATTATTGTGCAAGAAGTACAACAATTTTTTTTAATATTGAATTTTTTATCATTGATATATACGTATCTCAAGAATGTTATTCATATCCTATTAAAAATATTATTTGAATTATTAAAATTAACATGGACGGCTTTAATATTTATCAAATAAGACTCAAGCAGTATCATATTTATTCGTAGAATTGATTCTTCAATGACTATTTAGGATAAAAGTGTTTTCCGAACATTTAGAATCGATGAAGATTTTTATAAAAACGCTAAAATTTTCTAAAACTTGATAATTTTCGAGTTTTTAAAAATCATTAAAAATAAATATTCAAAATTATTGAGATCGAATTCTATTCGTTCATTCTATCAAGTCTTATAATTAACGTATGTCACTTAGTAACTTTCGCTGGAAGTGGTAACGCCCAACTATCAGATTCTCCTTCTGTCATATCTATTCGCGCCGCCCTTTCGCAACCTTTCTTCGGTCTAATTCCTTGGAATGCTCGGCAGCTGAATAACACAGTAGGAAGCATTAGGGTTCTGTTTGTGAAATGACGTCAGCAGGGTTCTTCTGCATACTGTCTAACACGTGATGTTTATACTAATTTGTAATAAACTATAAATTCTTTCTCTCTCTCTCTCTTTCTCTCTCTCTCTCTCTCTCTCTCTCTCTCGCTCTCTTTCTCTCTAAGTTATATACACGATCTATAAAGATTATGGAAAAAGTAAACGAATTATTGCTTATTTCAACAATCTCCTACCAAATATACAAAAAGCTATTTAAACATCTCAGATTCACAAGTCGATTTGAAAGCGATTGATTTATAGGATCGTTTGATTTGATATCTACTAAATTTTTTATTAACCTTCGAAAGAATATCGACATTTTATCAATGCTGTATCGAAAAGATCGACGTTTTTATCAACGCTGTATTAATAAAATGTCGATCTTCTTCGAAGGTTAATAGAAAATCTAGTAGATATCAAATCAAACGATCCGAAAAATCAATTGATATCGATTTGATTTCGATTTATGAAACAGGGCATTCACAGAAATGGCATCTAACAGACATCCTAGTCTTTCGAGATGACTCTCTCGTAAACCTAGATCATGCGGATCGTTTCAAAGATGGGTAACCAATAAAATCGCTGGACAATTCACTATACCTTTTAGTTCCGGTCTGATCTTCTGCATTCTCATTATAAGTCCACCGTGATTTTTTAATACTTCCTCGGGCGGCAGGAACGGGAAGGTGTTAGATCCGAAATAGGGCAGTCGTTTCTTATACTGACCAGTCCGCCTACGGCGCCGTAACTGTGCTCGTTGTAATTTTATTACCACCGCCACGTACGCGCACGTGTACACGCATCGTACACGCGAGCCAGCTTATTAGTCACTACTGGAAATAGTCGACAATTGAGCGCGCTTGAGACTTGATTTCCCCGAGTCTCGCAGACTCGTCGGAGGACTGTGGGGGCGCACTAGGTTAAAACAGTATCGTACTCTCGTTTGCACCTGTTTTCCTCATTTCTTGTGCGATTTCGCTTTCGCTCGAAAATTTCTCGCGTAATAAAACGCACATGGGGAGAAATATCCTGTTGTACAAAACATGAATCTCACTAATTGATGGTTTCGTCGCGTAAGGTGTGTCACGCAGGAATTAGTGATTATTTGACATCGGAGCACAGTTGACATCTGAGATTTGGAATTCGAAGAACTGCACGTATTCTCAACGAAATTATTTCTTTCTAATATCACTAGTGCTACTTTGATAAATTCAATGAGAATGAAAAATATCTATAGATAATTCGCGATGTAATTGTCATTAAATTAAATGTTATAAATACTAATATTAAAAATGACAATATTTAACTATATTTAACGTTTTTTTTAATTTTTTTAATAAAAAATTTAATTGAAATTATTTCACTTTATTAATCGATATTAATATGCGATTTTCGGAGAAGATTTTTAAAAAGATTCATTAAAGATTCAATAAAGATTAAGAGAAAGTTTGTAATTTTTTATTAATGTATAATTATTAAATAAATAAAAACGACAATCTGTATTTATTTTTATTTTATTATCTAGTTAACGAATTCTGTATCGGCGACTTTGACTTATTAATTAATTGAATTGCAAATTCCTTCGTGTCCCTCTATACGTCCCCGATAAATTCCCCGCTTGCTTTAACGAGGCAGATTAAAATCGGCGGACGCATCGGAATCCCGTCATCCGACGCTGCATTTATGCTCATGAATACGCGTGGTGCCGCCTCGGGATCAGAAAAAATCTCGAGTAACGAATTAGCGTATACTCCGTCCCACGTAGAGTTAACGTCAGCGTTGGCCGCGGTCGTTAAGCACGCTGGACTCGAATGTGACGGCAAAAGATGAAAAAGAGACGCGGGCGGGCCGAGACGCGGTACAGAAAAAGAAGAAATAGAGGACCGAGACGAGAAGAAGGGAAGATGAAGAAGAAGGTCGTCGGTGAGGGGAGGAAAAGAGGGGAACAGAAGGAGGGACACGCAGCCATCGCGGTCGGTCACAATATACTTCGCGTTGCGTAATCGCGGATTGACGAAGGCGGCCGAGATAGGCGATAAAAGGGATAATTCTTGAACCGTCACGAAAAGATATCTCGTATCTAAAATAAGAGAATTGGGTTAAGCGATTTCGTTAAACAAAATTGCTGCTGACCGTCGTGGATCATTCCTCGCACGAACGAATTTCAATCAGCAGCCGGTTTCGTAGGGTCGTTTGCTTCTTCAGTCAACGGTCTCTCAACTGCTGCTTATCCATCGTCAATCGCCGGTGTAATGGCTGCAAATCGATCGATCAGTATCCGAGCCTTGATTTCTCTCGAAGGACGTTAACCCGACCTGGTCACGGTGTTGCGTCATGCAAAGTTAATGTGCATGATTTTCAACCTGGACCGTTTTTTCGTGGCGAATAAAGCTCTTCGCTTAACGCGAAAATATGAGGTTGCACTTTTAAAATTCTGTTCATAAAAGAGAGAATCCTTTTGATAATGAAGATATTAACTTTTTTTTTAATATACAAAATGACCTATCAAGTATCAATGAATTTAAAGGCGATTTTTATTAAACAAAAACTTCGTTTTTTTCACAATTCTTTCTGTGAAATGTCTTGTTACCTTTCTATAATTTCTTTAACATTTTTAATAATTTATTTACAATTTAAAAATAATTACTTAAATATATAAGTTATTTTACATATAAAATTTGGTAAAAAATCGCATTTGATATTTCATCTTTTTTGTAAACTTCACAGTTGTGAAATATAATTCCAATCATTTCCTTCGCATTTTTCATAGATACACATCGTTATAATATAAGAGAGCGACTCGTTGCGCACGATTAATATCCGAAATTGAAAGTGCTAAGCAACTTCCTAATCCGTCATCATCCCGCATCAGCTCGACCTGTCAGTTATCATCTACATAACTCATGAATCGTGTAACATTGGACAAGATAATTTCACGGTTTGCAGATTCGCTGCGTGATGCTCTGTCTATAGTGTGCTCTATCTATAGAGCGATTCATTGTTAAACGAATGGATTTATCATTGAGACGGAACCTCCACTCTCTCATCACTTTTCTTCCTAGTTAGGTTTACCGGTCGACACGAGTAATTTCTACGCACAGCTTTGATTTCTGCTTCCCCCTTTGCGCGATCTGTGCAAGTAATGACGTATGAGTGTGCAAGAAGTTAGATTTGATTGATAGAGAGAGAGAGAGAGAGAGAGAGAGAGAGAGAGAGAGAGAGAGAGAGAGA